TTGGGTACGATTGTGAGCGCCGCCGCTCATAGTCCTACAAGATGTAGGATTGCGAGCGCTACTGCTCGCAATCGGAGGCATGTTGCTAGGATTGCGAGCAGTGCTGCTCGCAATCCTAGACTTTGCTCGGATTGCGAGCGCGCTGGTAGTAGTCGTAGGCGTCACCAGTCACCTTGGGAGCGGAGCTGCTCTTAGTCCTAGAAGATGTAGGATTGCGAGCGTGGGTGCTAGCAATCGCACAGAGATGCTACGATTGCGAGGAGTGCTGCTCACAATCCTTCGACTTCTAGGATTGAGAGCGAGGCTGCTCTCAATCCTTCCGGTCTAGAAAAGAAGGTTCACCCTCCGTGGCGACAGGGGATCAAGCACGCGCGGCAAATCCGGTGCATGTGGCGCACTCCGCCGCCACGTCACGCGAGAGCCAGGCGAGCACCGCACCGGTCCGGTGCATGTGTATGTGCATCGAATGTGCATACTCTCTCTCTCGAGGTCTCGAGCACACGCAGGGGGGAGGGGTAGGGGGGTAGGGGGGTCGGCCACGGGACGTCCGTTACACGCCCAAATCAGGGGGTGTGGTAGGGTAGGCGAGCCCCTACCCTACCCCCTGACGCCTCGAACCCTGGGTGGCGGCCTAAGGGTGGGGTCGTGCGGCGTGCCAACCATGACTGCCGCGCGCGATCGGTGGGGTCGAGTCGCCGCGGCGGAGGGGGCCGAAGCGGGCCGAAGGGGGCGACGGGCCGTTCGGGTCGACGGCGAGGGGCGCACGCGTGACGGGCTGTCAGATTTGGGTGTCTGAGACAGCACACGGGATCATCGTCTCGCATGGCAGACTCTGCTGTCAGACTCTGCCAGACACGCGCTGTCGGGCTGTCAGAGATGTTAGACCTAAAGGTCGGCGCTTCGACCAACTAGGCCACCTTCTGCACCTAAAGGTCGGCGCTTCGACCAACTAGGCCACCTTTTGCGCAAAAGGTGGCCTAGATCAGGGCTGGTGCGTTAACGTTAACACACCTCAGGGGCAGCACTGACTACAGATCGTGTCAACACTTGGCGCAAAGGTCGGTGTTAACACAGTTGAACGGCAGTCCCAAAACAAGCGTTACAAGCCCCCTCCGGGTAAAACCCGGTATACCTGCAAAAAACAGGGTATACCCGAGAAATACCTGAGTCCGCGTCAATGCCGTGCGCGCCCTACTCCCAGGGCCCCTGCGCCACGTGCGGCGCGCACCGCCTGCTCAGGTACGCGCACCGCACCATGTGCGCTCGCTACAAGTGCCAAAAGGCAAGCAAGCGCGATGACCACGACGTACAGTGGGATCGACAAGGGTGGCTTTGTGCTGGCCAACCAGATCGGCTCGATTGATTCACCGCCATGGGTTGGTGGCCCACTGTTGGCGTCGAGCAGCTCACGGCTGCCGAGCTCCCTACCCGCAATCTCACTCACCTTCGTCCACAGAAGAATGCCCCTAGCCGTAATGTAAGCGCTATGCCATAGCCGTAATGCCATAGCCGCTTCTCGTATTTCGAACGTGTCATACTTTCACGTGAAGGAACTTGAAGGGGTGGGAGCTGGGACTAGGGGGTTGTACACTCTCTGAGGCCTCAGACCCCCCTCTGAGGACGGGTCGGACCCCTGCCTTGGCGGCACAGAGGGTTTGACTCTGACTCTCTGTGCCCGCCGCCTCTGTGGCCTCTCTTGGCTGATTTTGGCCTCAGAGGGTCCTTGGCCGCTCTGGCGTCTGGGGGGGCGCGGGGGCCCCTAGAGGGCGCGCGGCAAATCCGGTGCGCATGTGGCGCACTCCGCCGCCACATTCGTTGCCCGCCGAAAGAAAGCCCTCGGCGGCCTCCTCTCGAGGTCTCGAGATACACAGAGCGGCCAATAAAATTCGTCACGCGAGAGCCAGGCGAGCACCGCATCGGTCCGGTGCATGTGTATGTGTGCTCGAATGTGCATACTCTCTCTCTCGAGGTCTCGAGCACACGCACACTCTCTCGAGGTCTCCAGGTGTGGAGCCAGCCAGCGGCCCCTGGGTTCCGACATTTTGTTTGGGGGGAAGGGTAGGGGTCACCGCCGGGGTAGGGGTAGGGGGGTAGGGGGGTCGGCCACGGGACGTCCGTTACACGCCCAAATCAGGGGGTAGGGTTGGTCCCCTACCCTACCCCCTGACGCCTCGAACCCTGGGTGGCCTGTCAGGTGCGTTTTAAGCTACTCTCGTGAGGATGTGAAAGCACGCCCACCCTAGCGGGATTGCCCCCGAAGGCAAGTGCGTCTGATTCACAGCCTTGTTATTGAGAAGAATATACCTCCGACGGCGCAGCTTAGGAGCGTAGCGCGCAGCCGCCACCCAGGTCCTCGCGTCCCCCGTCGTTCGTCGTGATGTGGGCCTGGCTGGGCGACAACGGGCATCCGCAGCGGTACGAGCAGGCGACGAGCGACCTCCTCGAAGCCTTCTACCTGCAGGACGGCGATGCGGCGCGCGCGAGGATCGATATCGGCGGTGTCACATACGTGGTGAGCCGAGAGGCGCATGGCTGGATGCAGCGGCGGGTGGACCAGCCGCACAGGGCTCGGCCGGTGTTGCGGCTGCCCGCGGGGCTTGGGCCCGCCATATTGGCCAGCGCCGCCGGCCGCGCTCCCGGCGGCGCCGGCCGCGGCGCGCACGGCGGCGGCGGCAGAGGCGGCAGAGGCGGCAGAGGCGGCGGCGGGGCCGCCTCGGGCGCGTCGACGATGTTCGTCGAGACCTTCGAGTGCCGGGACTCTTCGGCGCTCGATTTGGCGGCGGTGCTGCGCTGGCGCGTGCTCCGGCCGGGCGAGTGGGACGAGGGCGCCACCGACCCGATCCTGATGTGCGATCTCGGCGAGGATGGCGAGTCGGTCGTTCGGCTGCCGTGCCACTCGGACGCGATCAGCTGCACCTTCAACCGGTCGACCGTCGAGCAGGCCTTCGCCTCGTCGCCAAAGTGCCCGACGTGCGTCCAGCCCCTCTGCGGCGCCCGCGGCGAGGAGGCGCCGCTCTCACCGCCGTTGCGCCGCTGCACAGGTGCGGCCAGCCCTACCCGCTGCCGGGGCCGCAGCCGAGCGGAGTGATGCGCTGCCGCGCGAGCGGCGCGTACGACTGCGACGGCCACCCGGGCTGCGGCGTGATCGAGGCGCCGCCCGGCTCCAATCAGGCGCACGCGTCGCCAGGCACCTCCGTGACGCGTCCACGACACGTCCCCGCCAGGTGCTGTACGAGTTCCCGAGCGGCATGCAGGGGCCGCAGCACCCGCGCCCTGGGACGGCGTACTCGGGTACGCGGCGCGCGGCAATCCTGCCCAACGACGCGACGGGCCGCGAGGCGCTCGCGCTGCTCCGCGCCGCCTTTGCGCAGGGCAAGGCGTTCGCGGTCGGCGACTCTGCGACGACAGGCGCCCCTCGCTGCTCTCTCTTCTCACGCACTCCCCTCTCCTCTCGCCCACTCCCCTCTCCCTTCCCGCTTCCCCGACAGGCCGCTCCGACGTGGTGGTGTGGCGAATCCATCAAAAGACGCAGCCCATGGGCGGCGAGACGCGGCACGGCTGGCCCGACGCAACCTACCTCGACCGACTCCGCAGCGAGTGCGCCACGGCCGCGGTCGTCCCGCCGTGAGCTTCCCGCATGTAGAGTCAAGAACACGGTGTGTGAGTGACATCAACGCCTTCAACTGCGGCGCGCGCGCTCACAATCGAGCGCTACACCAAGAGCTACTATATAGTTTGTGCGCGACTGCCTCGTCGTCCCTCGAGCGCTCATATGAAAACTCAAAAGGGGTTACTGTGCGCAATAAAAGAAAAACGTGCGGGGTCGCGCTCTCTACTCTCGGGGGGCAGGGGGCACGTCTGTTCTTCGTCTCCCGTCTTCCCGTGTCTGGCGCGTGGCGGTGCCGGTGCGCGGTGGCGCCGCGCGGCGTGCGCCAGTGCGAGTCGAAAAGTGCGAGCAACGCACAGTCGCCGCGGACACCGAACCCCCATGCCAATCCAGACCCGGCCCGACTCCCGCTGCTCTCGCACGGGCGCGTCAGCGCAACATATTCTCCCAGTGCACCGGCTTTGACGTGGCAGCCGGTCCAAGCGCCTCGAGCTTCTCCCGCGAAGCCCGTTCCGAAGCGTCTTCCGCATCCTGCAGCGTGGCCTCGAGCAGCTTCGCAGTGAGCAGAGCCGGCGCGCTGAGTCCAAGGTCTCTCCACCTAAACAGCAGCCCCTCGAGCCGCGCCTGGTACACCGAGTAGGCGACTCGCTCCATGCCGCGCGCCGGCGAGTGCATGTGCGAGAGCGTGACCACACCCAGCGCCATCGGCACCAGCTGCGAGCTCGCATAGTCGAGTACCACCGCCTCCCGCATGGCGATGGCAAGGCCGGCGCAGGTGGCGAGCAGGTAGATGAAGATGGTTGCGCGCTTGGCGTGCCGCACCCACGAATGTCGGACGTAGTAAGCGTTGAGCTTGAAGCACAGCGCCACGTCCGAGCTGCGCCACCGCTTGTGTTCGGACGACGAGAGCACGCAGACGAGGACAACCAGGACACGCTCGACTGGCTCCGGGAGCAGTGCGAGATGCGGGTCATCGGCCTGAGCTTCAACTACAAGCTGCAGTGGGGCTCAAACAAGGACGAGGACATCGGCACCGTCGTCGACCTGACCGGCCACCTCAAGGAGATCCTCGAGGAGGAGCAGGAGCGGCGGGGCGCGTGCGAGCTGCCGGACCGCTGCCCCATCCCGACCGTGCGGCGCAAGACGTTCAAGGAGCTGGGCACGCCGACCGTCCAGGCGAAGGAGATCGCGAGCCGCGTCCAGGAGTACGGGGCGGAGGAGCTGCTGGAGCGGGCGGAGCGCGAGCGCGTGCGGCTCGAGGAGGCGGGCGAGATCGACCGCGTGGCGGACGGGCAACCCGAGGACGCGCCGCCCTGCGACGACTCGCTCGTGGGGGCGGAGCTGGAGATCTGCTGGCGCTACTGGGTGCCCTACACGGACGCGAGCGGCAGGCAGCGCCGGAAGGGCGCAAAGATGTGGTGCCTCGGCACCGTTGTGCAGGTGTGTCGTCGCCCGACCAGCTGCCTCCCCATGCCACTCGTCCACCTCGCACACACTCATGCCACATGATGCTCACTGCGCCACACTCGCCCCAATCGCGCAGATCGCCAACGGCACGACCGACAAGCAGGAGCCCGACAAGCAGGAGCCCGACAAGCAAGAAGCTCGCCAAGGCCGGCGCGGCGCGCATCCGTTGGCCGGCAGACGCCGAGCGCGACGAGCACGTGTCGTGGTCTTGGGAGATCCTGACCGAGGCCAACTTCAACGACGACGTGCACATCGGCTGGAGGCTTTCGGCGGGCGAGCTGCGGAGGCGCGCCGGTGCGCGCAAGGAGCGCGCGGCCATGTAGTGGCCTTCTAGAGGCCCGCGATCGCGGTAGAGCGCGCGTCCGCACAGCGCAGCAGCCGGAAAGTTGCACTATGTATGTGTCCGTTGTGGGTGTCCCTGTGGTCGCCAGGCTGTCGCCATTGGCTTGTGTGACTGCCCGTGGCAGCAAGTGCTTTGCGCGGGTGTATGAAATTAAGCCCGACGGCTTCCCTCCAAAAACGCGGATTTTCCCCTCCCGACCCCTACCTCTGTCGGCTCTGCGCGAACAGACGTACCTAGACACGCACACACGTGTCCTCCTCTCACAACGACGAGACCTCATGTGTGGGTCTGTGCTCATTGCTGGATGGCGGGCCGGTGCAGCGCTCTTCATCTTGCTGGAACTGCGCGCTCTCTCCGACTCTCATGGTGCGCGCTGCTTGCCCCACGCCTTCGCAGAGAGGCCGCCAAATCGCGCGTCGCCGCCATCCGTGGCGTGCGGGCGGGTGCGCTTGGCGCCGGCCTTCTCGGCCGCGCCGGAGCTGCCGGCAGCCTCGCGCGCGAACTCGGGACTGGGCACGTCGCTCGCCATCTCGCGAGCGTGCCGCGCGTGGTCCTCCTTCGACGCCTCGACCCACGGCGCCCTCGCCGCCTCGTCCATCGTCTTCCACGTCGCGCCGAGCGCCCTGCCCGCCTCGGGCACCTTCATGCCGGCGTAGGCATCCGACTTGCGCTCCTGCATCGACCAGAGCATGTACGCCGAGAGCGCCTCCTTCGGCGGGTCGTACTTGTGCTCGGTAGGCGCGCCCTCGCCGCTCAGCAGCTGGAGCAGCTCAAGACGCCGGCGAGCGGTGTCGGCGCGCGCCTCGTCGCGCCGTGCAGCGATGATGCGGCGAAGCTCCGCGGCGTCGTCGTGATCGCCGATCATCTCCTGTTTGCCGTACAGCTCGTCGCCGAGCTCGAACACGGTCGGCTTTGCGAGGAAGACGGCGCTGGAGCCGCCTCCCGACCCGCCCTCACGGCTGAGGCCGATGTTCGCATTGACCGCCAAGTGATAGCGCAGGTTGTTGCACAGAAGGTCGAGCTTCTCGGGGAGCGGCATCGTCGTCTTGCGGCGGCCTCGGCCGTTCGTCCGCTCGAAGGCGCCCTCCGCCTCGCCGATCGGCAACAGCACGGCCGCCGCCGGGGAGTGGCGGAAGGTCGCCACCGAATGCAGGTCGCCCTGACCCAGCTCGAAGGTGTACAGGCGGAGATCGTCGAATCTCCGCTCCACGGCGCGGACCGTCGGCTTGACTCCGTATCCTCGCAGCATCACGACCTCGACGCGCCCCTCGGCTGGCAGCTCGAGGTAGAGCGCGTTCATGGAGAGGGACCCGAGGCGGCCCTTCACAAACTCATCCTTGATGGTCTCTCGGCTGCCGGGCACGAGGGCACCCTCATTGCGCCCCTCCGCTGCCTTGAATCCGCAGTCCATGTTCACGGCGACAGTCGAGCGCGGCACGTACTTGGCCAGCGTGGCGCCCGCCTCGCGGCACAGGCTGCAGTTGAAGGCGAGGTGGTGCCGCTCGTTCGGGTCGTACGGGTCGCCGAGGCGGAGAACGCACTCAACGTGGAACCAGGTCTTGCATGCCTCGCAGTAGACCATGCGGAGATCCTCGCCCTCCTCGCGGCCGTACTGGCAGTCGTCCACGTAGCAGCATGCTCCCGTCGCCTCCTCCTCCTCCTCGAGCCCCTCCGCCCGCAGGTAGTGCCCGTCCTCGATGCACACCTTGTTGAAGATGTAGAGCGCCTGCGCCGCGTCCGCGAAGCCCCAGTACTGGAACCGCTCCTCCGCCGCCGCGCGCGGGCCGCGGCCCTCCGCCGCCGGACAGAGATGCCACTCGCGCAGCAAGCCCCAAAACTGGGCGAGCGCCGCCTGCCGAGCCTTCCGCTGCTCGTCCTTGGGCACGTGGCCGCGCCTGACGTCTGACTCCGCAGCCCTCGCCGCGTCGAGCATATGGTCGAGGCCGGCGAGCCCGGCGCTGGTGCCGGCGTCGGTGAGAGCTCGGTTGGGGGTCCGCGTCAGGCCAAGGGCGGCTCGGAGCTCCGGGAACTGGTCGATCAGCGGGGGCTTGCCGTCGTGCCAGACATTCAGCGCAACGAGCAGCTTGGGGCCGTTTTGGAGCGCCCACTCTGGCGCGTTCCTCAGGTAACTCTCACGTGCAGACTTGCTTGGCCCTTAATCTCGCGTCAAAGCGATTTTTATTGCCCCCCCCCCCCCCCCCAAATTTTAAACCCCCCAAAAATTGGTTTTCCGGGGGGCCCTTGGTAAACCCCCCAAAATTGAAGTGGGCCCCCCAAAAGTTTCCCCCCCCCCCCGGGGCAAATTTTAAACCCCCAAAAAAATGGTGTGGGCGCCCAAAACCCCCCCCCCCCCCCCCCCCAAACAAACCAACCATAAACCACCATAATCGGTTGGTAAACGCGCAGCAATTTGCCCACACAGTGGAGCCCGAAGTGAGGATGGCGAAGGACCCGGCAGCTAAAAATCTGTATCTCTCAAATCACCCACTTTTCGAGATGGTCGGAGATTGAGTGTGTTGCACCCCTTCGTGACCACGAAAGGTCCCATTTCGGCTCTTGGACCGCCAACACACCGCGGCGAGGGGTGCACAAGCAGGCAAGCAGGCTCGAAACCAGCTCGAAACCCAAGCTAGTTCCCGACAGACACGCACAGACCCTCGACACAAGCCCAGCCCGCCCAGAGTCACACCCCAGAGATCAACGGCGGCATCTGGCAAAATCTACATGCGGCTTCGCGCCGCCCGAGTCGACGACTTCGCGACCGCTTTTCATCGCCCGGAATGCTCGTTCGCGTCAACTCGCTTCTCATCAGCCCGAGAGAGAACTTGGCGCGCGAGCGGTGAGTGCGTCGCCCCACAAATGTTCCGGTGCCCAGCTTCCACGTCCGTGATGCAGGCCACTGCGCGCTCGACGAGGGCATCTGGGAGGGCATCCCCTTGCCTGCTCGGGCAACCCCGCGCTGCTCAAGAGCGCCGTCGTTGGGGCTGAGAACCTGGGGCGTGCCGTCGACGACCTGGCTCGAGCAGGCGCGCGGCACGCACACGATAGCAGTGCCAGCGCCTCGCCTTCCCACAGCCCCTGCCCCCCCCCCTCGTCGGCCGCGCACCTTCTTCTGCATCCTTGGCACATCCAACTCGAAGGGGCTCCGTGATACTTGGCAGGCGTTCCTTCGGGCCCACCCAGAGACGCCTTAGCGACACTTCAGAGACACTTCAGAGACACTTCAGAGACGCTTCAGAGACGCTTCAGAGACGCTTCAGAGACGCTTCAGAGACGCTTCAGAGACGCTTCGGAGACGCTTCAGAGACACTTCAGAGACACTTCAGTCACTTCAGAGACGCTTTAAAGACGCTTCAGAGACACTCCGAGACGCTTCAGAGACACTTCAGAGACACTTGAGAGACACTTCAGAGACACTTGAGAGACACTTCCGACACTGTAGAAGGGAGCGGCGCCCAGCCGCCGCCTCGCTCGCCTGCCCTCCCAGGCGCCGGGCCGTGACATTTCCGAGACATTTCCGAGACATTTCCTCTCCCTGCCCTCCCAGGCGCCGTGCGCCCGCTTCGGCCACACCAGCGTCGAGGTTGACGCCGACCACCCTCCCCTACCCCACAGTACCCTAACCCACCCTCCCCTACCCCACGGTACCCGAACCCACCCTCCCCTACCCCACGGTACCCGAACCCACCCTCCCCTCCCCCACGGTACCCGAACCCACCCTCCCCTCCCCCACGGTACCCGAACCCACCCTCCCCTACCCCACGGTACCCTAACCCACCCTCCCCTACCCCACGGTACCCGAACCCACCCTCCCCTACCCCACGGTACCCGAACCCACCCTCCCCTCCCCCACGGTACTCGAACCCACCCTCCCCTCCCCCACGGTACCCGAACCCACCCTCCCCTCCCCCACGGTACCCGAACCCACCCTCCCCTACCCCACGGTACCCGAACCCACCCTCCCCTACCCCACGGTACCCGAACCCACCCTCCCCTCCCCCACG